ACGTTATTGTCATGAACATTATTGTTCTGCTTTTGTTTTAACAATAAGATTTAAATAAAGAGTGCTTCACAACAACATTGAACGAATTAACCTGGCAAGTAACTAGAAATTATCTTCCCAACATTGGCACGCAATAACATCCTGAGAAAAATTGTAGTCAAAACAACCGGAATCTGGTACAGTTTGTTCAAAAGCTCAGTACTTTTTACCGAAGCTCTTTGATAATGATTTAAGTAAGATGAACAATAAAGTATGGTTCTATAATATTAGATAAAATTTAACAATATGTGGTATAATTAAGTAATTTTATCAGGAAACTTTAGAGCATGACATCAAAACTATTTATTCAGTTAAATTTACTCTTCAGTTTTATATTTTTTACTACACGCGTGGTAATAAAAATTGTAGTTTTGAAAGCAAGAATTTCCGGTAAACCGTTACCGTATGAGCGGAAAAATTATCAAATGAATGGTTCGAACATAGTATATTTTAGTTTTATTAACTACATTTTTTTTTACTAGAAATGTCATTACCATGCACTGTGGTAATTTTATGAAGAAAAAAAATTACCCTTCACCTAAGGTGAATTGAAATACAAAATTCTATTGTAATAAAATTTTTTGACATATGTTATTCGCGCTGACAACAGCAACTGAATACTTCAGCTAAAGGACTTGGGAAGCATAATATTTGACAACACTTTTTCCCAAAGGATATATTTTTTTTTACATCAAACTGTTTTGTATTGTATTGTATTGTTTGTTGATCGGTTATTTACAAGTTTCCGTAATTTCTACCTCATAAAAGCTTAATATTCAGAAACACCCCATTACCTACTTGGAATTTGAGGTGTTCCTCACCAAAATCACTTTCTTTCGTCAAATTTAAAGTGTGGCTTATCATTATTTTGCTGCATACCTTTTAACTCTACATAGAAATGCGCTAACAGATCTGAGGAACTGTTTTTTAGCTTTCCTCAGCTAGCTTTTTTTTTAATTGTTTAACATTTTAAGTTAACTAATACAAGTCTCAAAAAAAAAACTTTTTGTGAAGAGCTTTTCGTATGTCGCACTGTTAAAAATTTTGTAACAATTTGAACCATATCACTGCTATCATTTGCTTCAAATCTTAACCCTTTAACGGGCCCTTTATTTCTAGTAAAGGTAAATTAAAGTATTTTTGAAATTTAAATTGTTTTACGAACTGTAATTGATATAAAAATAAAATAAAAACTCATATAGTTTATAAAAATGCCATTTTTTTGGTGGTAAATATATTTAACATGACCTATTAGGAACTTACTGACTTTTATTTTTCTTTATTTATAAAATAAATTCCTTAAATGCTACAAACTTCAAAAGGAATTATGTATTTTATAACTTTTATGCGTTTTTTAAAAGTGACAAATTTTTACCAATTTTATTCAAACTCACTTCAAGAAAGCTGAAGTTATTAAAAAATGGAAACCTAAATTAAAAGTGGTAAAACGTGGTGGTAAGTATACCTACCACGGCCTTCAAAAGGGTTAATGCGGCGTTAACTTAAACCATAGTATGGTGTAAATTAAGTATTCTTATATTTCATTATACGATACTGTGGTTCAGTTTGAGAGAAAACTCTTTTTATTTTTACACTTATTTAAAAAAATACTATAAATTCACACAGTATTAATTACTTTAAGGCTGATTGTGTAAGACGAATTCTGATAGTGTAAAAAGCTGATAGTGTAAAACGAATGAGTTCGTGACATTCTTATTAAAACAATTATTATTGACCTTGTTTTTCTAAATATTTTACTCTAAAATTTTCCTTATGAGATCTAAAAAAAAAAACTCATAACTTACCTATAAAATGACTAGGTCTTCGAGGTGATAATTACTATCCCTGCTACCGAAACAGCTTAAGATATTTTTTTATAGAAGTAAGAAAGGAATGATTTAAAGCCTACGCCATAAATAAGTTGCAGAAATTCGATAACACAATAATTATGTTTTGAAATCAATAATTACTGGACGCATGACAAAAAAACAAAACCAAGCGAAGCTTAATTTTTGGAATCGATATTTAAGTATAGACTTTTATTAGGTTGGTTCAAAACTTGATTAAAAAATGTTTCTTTCATTCCTAGGACTTTTTGTGTTTTAAATCGTTTTCTGTAGTTTTGAAACGATTTATATCATATTTATTTCTTTAAGTAACAGGTTTAAAACAATCGTATCAATCATTGACTTACAAATTCAATTCATTTTAATCAAATTTACCTTCATTTTTTTATTACCGAAGTACATCGAAATGAGGGATATGTATAATTAAAACTATATCTCGCGTTTAAACACATACGAAATCAGAGAATTTGAACTTTTATATGATTTTCTGCCTTTTTTGGAGCAAAAAAAAAGTGTTGACACCTTTGGAGTATTTTAATCATTTGTATTCACTTTCACTAGCAATAATAATAATTGAAAATACCCACTAAATTGAAAATAATTGTGTGTAACACGGAAAGTTTTTAAAAAGTTGGTTTAAAAATTGAAGAGAATTATTTCATAACTTTAAATAATTTAAAATCACAAGTGCAAATTAATAAGTTTTTTTTTTCAGCAAACTAAAGTTCTATTTTTTTTAAGTCTTATAAATCTAAGAAAAAAATTAAATTCGAACTCCGATACCTTCTACTCCGAGTTACCTAAATTATATTTTATTGTATTGTGTGCTACTGCCCAATACGCCTGTATAATATTTAGAAAACCCATGTAAAAATTCTGCTTTTTTTCTCGATTTCAGATAATGTTATCTTTATACTGATACAGAATTATGAATGTGCGTGTTAAGATGATGTTAGAAATAAATTAAAGATATATTCAAAATACGTAGATGTTAGTACATACATACTTTCAATTTTTTTCGCATTGTTTTTGTACATTAGTTTTATGGTAAAATTTGTCCTATTTTTGCAAATTTGTTATTATCAATTGTATTTCGATACTTTTTATTCGCCATCTGGTTATACATCATATTCCATTATCCACACTCTATTGATTTACAACCAAACGTAAAGATTATTCACAAATTTAACCATACCTTTATTCTATAGTGCCTTCTTGATTTCACATTGACCTTTGTCATTTCGCATTTTTATTTATTTGTTTATTTTATTATTCTCGTTGAGGGTATACAACTATAGGTTACTTTATCAAGTTAAATGATAATGGACATAAATTTAAATCAGATTTACTCATAGTAAAAAACTTTTCTTAATTTAGAAAATGAGTCTACATGGTGATAAACATAATTTGAGTAACTGAATTAAAAAAATAAGCCTTACAGATTACTCCTAGTTATTTTTGCTTATTTTTCGTTATCCCCTTCTCTGATGCTACTGAATAATAGGGGTTCTATTCATTTCAATCAAATTTAAATTATTAATTAATTAATTAAAATAATTTAATTAAAATAACTTAATTAAAATAACATTAAAGTAGAAAAACAATACCTAAATTAAAATAGTATTACAATACATTTGTAATATTAATTCGGCATTTATGTAATGAAGATATTTCAATTCAACATCTCTGCATCAATTTTAATACATTTAACGATATTTTAAAGCTTAATTTCCTTATTGCGCTTTAAAAATTTCTACATCCATTAATTTTAAATTATCCATGCTTCGCTTAAAATTTAATGAAGAACATAATAATTTGCTCGCCTAAATAATTATGAAGCATCATAAATTAGCTACAATCATAGTACGGCGTTCCACTTAACTGAATGTAAAGCGTATTTTCTAAGTCAAACCGAATGCAACTTATCGTGCCATCACCTTTTGAAGGAAAAGATGTGATTCTATTTTTCCGGAAGAATAACCACTCTATCACTTGTTTCAATGGCACCCAGCAGGGGGCGCGTGTGTTATCGCGTCAAACTCATCAAATTTATTTGTTCTGTAAGATCAGAATTTTAATTTGCTTTCTAAAATATCAAAGATGGCAACTAATGTGACATAGGGAAAGTAAGATAAGTCAATAAGTAATCTGTGTTTTGTTATTTTACAAAATAGTAATAATAATAAAGTAATTTTTTTGTTGTTAATTCAGGGGTGGCAAATCTATTTCTAAGAATACCAACAGAGATCTTTAAGAGCCTTAAATATTAGACTTGAGAAGCTTACGTAATTTTAATGAAATAAATAAAAAAAACTTATATTTTAAAAAAAAATATTTTTAGGTGTCCGTGTTAAATTAGGCACGCATCTCTATTTTTCTGCTACTAATAATGCATGTAAAGTGCACCATCGATTCAGACAAAATATTTTTGATATTTTCAAGTATTTATGTGCATCAATCCCTTTCCCCAACCGAAAAGTTGAGTTCAACGTTGAACCTAAATATACGCAGACTTCTTAAGGTATTGTGTTGAACCATATATTTCCGCCCAAGTTCAATTACATTATGTCAACAAGTTTAAGAAGTGCGATATAATGTTGTCCACATAGCCACACTTAGTAAAGCTTCAGCAAGCATAAACGATAGGGAAAAAATGCACAAATTTTTTAAACAGTGCACAAAAATCTAAATATGAAATTTTATTTGTATTTTCAAAACATGGCTCAGATAAAATTCTAGTTGGTTAACCGTATTAGGTGAAAACAGTCAATAAGCGATTTTTCTAACTGTTAACAAATTGAAAACCATCTTTTTTATGACTATTTGTTAGTTTTTGGTGAATGTGGTAAAATAATAAATAATTTGTTATTCACCCATTTTTTCCAACTAGTTTCTAACAGTGCATTATTTATGAATAAAAACTGATTCAAAACTGATATTTTTATTTAATTTTATTTACTTATTTATTTATATTTAATTTTGCTACTTTTATAATGTTATATATTTAGGGAAACTTTTTGGAGCAATGACTTTTTTTCAAACTATTATATTTGTTTTCGTTCAACTATTTTTTTCCTGTATCAACAATTCTCAATCTCCTTTTTTTTCTTACAGTGCGAACACCCAAATGGAGAACAGTGTTACACCAGTGTATCTAGCAGCACAAGAGGGTCACCTGGAAGTTCTGAAATACTTAGTTTTGGTGGCTGGTGGTTCCCTTTATTTAAGAGCAAAAGATGGTATGGCTCCTATCCATGCTGCCGCACAGATGGGGGTTCTAAAATGTGTGAAGTGGATGGTGAGTGGAAATTCTAAACAATACTTCTTGCCAGATTTTTTTTTAATAAAGTAACGCATCAAATTTAGGAAAATTTATTTTTTCCCATCATATGATTATATGTGTGCTATACATGTTTTGGTGTATAACGTTTATCAAATAACAAATAAAATTCATGTTAGTGAACGTGAAATATGGGAAACAAAACGTCAAAGCTGCAATTTTTATTTGAGATACTTATTTTCATTGTATGTGCTTTGATTACTTAAGATAGTGTATCTTTGTATTGTATCGTACCTTTTACTATACCCAACTCAGCCTTTTATTTAACTAGAACGTGCAATTTAAAATAAATGAACTTTAAAAAAAAGAAGAAAAAAAAAACAATTTGGGAGTAATTTAGTTTAGAAATATATTTTACCATTAATAAAAATTTCAGTTACTTTTTGATTAAAAAGGTAATGCAAAAATTTACCAATCCTTTGTACTGGTTACTTTTTCTGCCTTCGGCCTATATTTAAGGCGATGTCCATAAAATATAAAATTATAAAATTTAAGCATTATTTCCTTTTATTTATATATTTAATAATCAATTTGAGTTTTTTTGGGATTAAATTTTCTTTTAATGTGAGCAGCAAGATTATAATGAAATATAAATTACTATTCCCTGGTTTTTTCTTTCTAAAGATTAACCGCAAAGTTTTTGCATCATTGTAAATGCATATATCGCCGTGTTTGTTTAAAATCAATATATCTTTAAATAAATTATCGATATATCTATATTGCTAATCGATATATAAAACCAATAACTTTATTTTAACTGAAAACTTTCGAATATAAACGAAGATTTCTTTATTGTCATTTTTGAATGTTAAAATAATAATATATTTGGAAACTATAATTTTACACAAAAAAAATACTGTTTTCCATTATTTTATTTTTTAACAAATTATGCAATAGTACATTTATATAAATATACAACAATTTAGATTTTTTAAACTTGAAAATATATAATAATCGATTTCTATTTTTCGATAACCTTCAATATTGTTTAACTCAATCTAAGTAGTTATTAGAAATCACTTATTTTTAACTAAAATATTATTTCCAAGGTTAAAAGTTAAGTTATATATTAACAATGACTCACTAGTTCAAACTGTAAGTTTGATACACCTTTCAAGAATATAAACATTTCCTCTTTATAATAGTTAAAAACAGGTTCTAGTCGTCTAATTATGGCTATTCTCAACTAATATATGATTTCTTTTGCTCTCTTCTTTAATTCCTCTTTCTGGGTGTTTTATTAGTTTCTGGGATATTTATGAATTCTTTATGCAACAGGTGGAAGAACAAGCTATTGATCCCAACCTCCGGGACAATGATGGGGCAACGCCTGTCCATTTTGCAGCTAGCCGTGGTCACCTGGAGACCCTAAGGTGGTTGCTGAAACATGGTGGAAGAATATTATTGGATAAACATGGCAAAAGTCCCCTGAATGACGCCGCTGAAAATGAGCATATGCAGGTAAATTATTTAATATATTAATGTAAATTATCAATAGGATGTATTAATGTAAATTATCAATAATGTATATCAATAAGACTTCCACTTTCATTTTATTTCCTTTTTGTTGTAAAATTTTCTTTGGTTTCTTTTGTCTTGTTGAACATGATGCTTTTTCGGATTTCTCTTGACAATGTTGATGTTAGTGATTAATTATACACTGTATTAAACAGAGAGAAGTGTTGAAAATTTAGTTACGCTGTAAAACATCTTATATTAAGCTATTAGTTTTGTGAAAGAATTAGTTTGTAACATAATTAAGCAGATTAAATATTTGTGTTAAAAGCCGATCAAAGGAAATTGGAATGAGATAAAAATATACGTTTTTCTGCGTTCAACTTAGCTAATCTATTATTTATTCTCTTTAAATTTCATTATTAGTTACAAAGTTTATCAGTAGATGGTGCTGCTCATTTTACTAACTATTAAACCTTCCTTCCGCTGCGTGTCAGGCCATTAAATGTGATATTTGCACAAATATGTCAGTGTATTTTGTTCTTAAACTACTAAGCAGATACAGCAATTTGCGGTTAATTTGGAAATTTTGTTTCATAAAATATTTTTATGCTTTTATGTCATATAAATGCTAAGATTTATATCTTTCAACGTCTAATCTCCCTCCCTTTTTTTGTTTTCGTTTCTTTTGATTTCAAGTCAAGAGTGGGCTCATAATATGAAAATCTCGAGAGAAATAAAAAATTTTACAGCAATGGATTAATTATTAATTAATAAAAAAAATGCAAAAAAGCATTGAAAAATCAAGGGCAAAGAGCTTTCTGAATAACTAAATCAGTGCAAAATAATTTTCGAAAAAATCTCTCGTTAGTTTTATAATTCAAAATGGTCCTATCAGTACGAGCTTTTAATCAAAATATCTCGAATTATGAAACGAACCCATTTAAACAATATTTGAACAGAATGACGTACTTTTTATTCTTTATTTTCAAGATTTATATCCTACATTTACTCATAAAAATGGTTTAAACTGTATTATCTCGATAGTGAATTTTAAAAATTCACATGTGCAACCTAAAGTATTTTTTTATAAGCCTGATATGAGACATATACTATTATAATACGATACGAGTAATTTCATCCAAAACTCTTCAAAAATTAGTTGCTGAGCTTTCAACCCAAAATATCTCGAATTATGAAGCAAATTCATTCTGGCCTCTAAAGCATTCAATCACCCATTTAAACAATATTAGAACAGAATGAACTCGATTAACATATATTTTTTTGGTTTCAAGATTTATAATATACGTATATTCTCACAAAAATTCACGTGCGCCACCTGAAATACAATTTTATAAGCCTGATATCAGACAGATCCTATTATATTACGATATGAGTAATTTCATCCTAAAAGTTCTTAAATTAGATGTTGAGTTTTCAACTCAAAATATCTCGAATTATGAAACAAATTCATTCTGGTCTTAAAATTATTCAGTCACCCATTTAAATAATATTAGAACAGAATCAACTCGATTAACATACATTTAATTTTTTGCTTTCAAGATTTATGTCCTATATTTACTCATAAAAAATGGGTTTAAATAGCATTAACTCCACTGAGAATTTTAAAATTCACGTGTGCCATTTAAAATATATTTTTATAAACCTGATATCAGACACTTGCTCGTATATTTCGTCTCCGGTGCGCCCGCGAGATAGATAACATCATCCAAAGTTTTCTATAATTAGTTGTCCAACCGATAAAAAAGTGTTCCAAGATGTCTTTATAGGCAAATGTTCCAACTTCTAAGCGACCTTAAAACGTGCCTTCTTCATTAAATCCCAATTCCGAATCAAAAAACGTTTCGGATATTTGTATCGCCTGCCACTTTCTTGAAAATAGATGTTCTTTTTAGCATCAATTCGTTCGAAAAACATCCCTGATCTAAGAGGTGGGAAGGTTCATTAAAATGTCATCTAGTAGTTAGAGGAAGCTGTCTTTGATGGAAATTGTACCAGAGAGTTAAGGGAAAAGAAGTTTTATGAATGCTGTGAATGACAAATGCTTGGTGAACAAAAGGGTTGGTGGACGTGCTGTTTCATTTTGGTGAAACCATTAAATGATCCGTTTTTCGAGGTCGCTGCTTCTGAAAAGGAATTCACTGCACCTTTCCTTTTACAAGACCCTAATCAAGGTCAGATTTTATAAAGTTTCTCGTTTACCGTGAATTTTTGTTAATAACTTTGGAATCGTTGTTGTGGTGCCGACTTGAAGAAAAAGTGTTTTAATTACATAGCTAAGTGGCAAATATTTTAAGTCACGTTTGTTCGTTCCCTTTCTCCTTTAGTATAAACAAAATAACTAAAGAAAATTGAGTAGATTTTGTGCTATTTTCTGTAATTTGAATTTTTTGGAACTATTCCTTTTTTTAAACAGTAAACAGTTAAGTAAACAGATTTTGTATTTTCGTCTTTAAAATTGAGGATTTAAATACAATGTAAAAATTCTTATCTTTTTTTATATCTTATATTCTTTATATCTTTATTATATCTTCGTATCTTTTTATTTAAGTATATATGTCCTTATATATATCTTTTATATTATTTTTTATAAATATCCGTATGTACGAGTATAGTTTCATATATATCTCTATATTTTATATCTTCATATCTTCCTTCCTTAGATTATTATATCTTTCTAATTTTTATATTGTATAATTTGGAAGGTTTTTATCATTACTTAATGAAATAATAATAATAATAAATAAATAAATAAATTGTTGTCAAGGAAATAGGTGTAGTTTTATATTATCAGCTAAGGACATTTAATTAGCGAAATAAGACTTAATTTTTTGGTTATTTTTCAGAAAATCGGTACTATGAATTTTTTTTATTTCTAAAGATGCCCTAAATTTAAAATTGAAATAAATCGAAATTAAATAAATAAGTTATAAAAATTATAAAAATTATGTGCTCTGGAAAACCGTGCAATTGAGAAACAAATATATCTCCTATATTTTATTAAAAACTAATGTAAAATAAATAATTACCATTTACAATTGTGTTTCTTATTAATTAGCGACAACAACAAAAAAGCTCACCATATTTTTACCTAATGTTTTAAACAGAAGGAAATTGCATTGTAGTCAAAAGCACTAGATGGGAAAGACCAATTAAGTATAAAAATAAATAAGCATTTATTAAGCTTTGATTTATTTTGCTTGTTCGATAAAAAAAGTCATATGAAATCATTATTGAAAACATATTTATCTTTTTATGAAGCAAATATTTTCAATATTTGCTTATTTATTCACTTTTAATATTAGTGATACATTCAAACTATTTCATTCAAAACATTTTTTCAGGCAATTTTTTTTCATCAAATGTAATTTATTTTAATATTTTGTAATTCGTTTCCTGGAAATTTTCATTTCCATTGTATTTGAATGTATCTTTATATTTTCGCATTTATCTCTGAATCAGACAATAATCATGAAAATGGGGTGAAAAAAAGGGTGAAATTTCACCACTGTGTTGAAACATCTCCTCTCCTTATCACATTCTAGATTGAATATGTTACAGCATTAATTGGACTAATATATTTAAAATAAAATTTTTTTACTTAAAAATAATAGTTAAAAATAATAAAAACAATAACCGTCGAAATTCCAGATAACAAAATTTTATCTGTAGTGCTGCCATCTATTGAGCAATATTATAACCTTCAATGCTAGTACTTAAACTTCGTATTTCACCTATAGCGATCGAACTCTGAAAACTAATCAGATATATTCAACTATAATAAGGGAGGAGAGATTAATGAAGAAACTTGGAAACCGTTTTGAAAGATAAAATGTTTTATTTTAAATAGTTTTACTTTCAGTGCTGCCATCTATTAGAAGGTAATAAAGACTATCATGAGTGGAATATGTAATACACCAATTTGTTACTTCTTTTCTAAATGAAGACAATCAAATCTTATTTTTAATTCGAATAATAATAAATTTATTTGAATACTATTTTTTTTTAATTTATCTGTAAATAATATACTATTCATTACATTATTTTACTTATTTATTTAAATCAGCTTCAATCTTTTCTTAAATTTTCATGTATTTCATTTTTTAACACTAATTTATTTTGTGTGCTTTGAAATCTTCCTTGTTTTGTATTTAATAACTTTAAAATTTTAATATTTAATTAAAAATAAAAATTGAAAAAAGAGAGATAGATTTTTTAATTTTTTTAAAATTTTGTGTAATTATTTGAATNATTTTTTATTATACCTTACATTTTTAGTAGCCTTTTTGATAGCATTTCTTAATGGAACAATAGCTTTTTTAAAAATAAAAAAAATGAAAATTAGTACTTTTTTATTCTTGAATACTTCTATTTTCCTTAATTATTTATAAAATGTAATATTTCTGACTTTTTACTGAAGGAAAAAATTTCAATTATAGATTTACTGCAACAAATAGACTTAAAAATTTAAAGTGTAATTCGTTTGCTGTTAATTTGTTAATATGTCCCCAGATTATTATGAAAATAATTCAAATATTAAATGTTAAATCGTTATTTTTTTAACTAAACTTTAAATGTGTGCTCTTTTTTAACGATAGAGAAGTTTTAAAGTTAGGTTTTATTATTTATGTAGTGCTATGGAGAAAAAGTACTCTTTTTTATCCATCATCACAAACTACTGTTTTTTTTATTACTTAAATTCTTAAAAATCTAAACATACTTATTTTTATTATAAACTTATTAGATTTTTTTTAATAGATGTAAAAAAGTATGATGTAAAAAAAATCTGTATTCGGAAAATTGAATCATTAGCAGAAATTTGAAATTTAAAAAAGATATTTTTTCGATAACATGACAACATTATTATAGTTAAAGCATTTGTTATTAATTCTTCTTGTTATTAATTCTTTGGCGAAGGGTACCAACTAATATATTTGATCATGTCATCTGCCTAGGAATGTAATTGATGCTCTTGTAATGACCAT